CATGTTCTTCGTTTTTGGTTTTCTAACTCTAGGCACTTGCACATTTTATTATATTTCACTGTCTTCTCGAGCTGCCTTCTGAAGTGTTCTATTCAGCTCTTTGACGTCACCACTGCATCCATGTGCTTTAGCTACCTCACGATTAGGAGCAAGTTTGAGTCTCTTCTGACATTCGCCCTGAACTTGTCTTTCTTTCTGCTTTTTAATGACCTTTCATGTTCTTCATGTGTGATGTTCTTGAAATTTGGTTGGGAAATACCCAAGGTGATATTTTGGCTCTTGTGGAATTGTTTTGAATTTTCTTCTACTTCAATCTGAACTTACATATGAACAGGTGATAGTCTGTCTCACACTTGGTGCTTGGCCTGCTTTTAACAGCTCATATTGAGCATCTCCATGGTCTCTTCCCACAGACGTAGTCTACTTGATTTCTGTGTGTTCTATCTGGAGAAATCCATGTATACAGTTGCCTTCTGTGTTACTTAAAAAAAAAGCTATTTGTTATGAACAAGTCGTTGGTCTTGCAAAATTCTCTCATGGGATCTCCAGCTTCATTTCTATCACCAAGGCTTTTGTAGGAAGTTCATCTCAGTGGTTTGGGAGTGATCCTCCATGATGTAATGTAATGCAACATACTCAACCCCTGGTGGGATCTAACATAACCAATCAACTCTGTGAGTAGCTAGCAGTTGTGGAGTACAGCCCTCTTGGTCGGTTTGTAGCCTGGATGGAAGTGGGAAAAAGACTCTTTGGGGGGGTGTCACTTGGTCCTTCTTAAGCAGACTCCTTGGGAAAGCTTGCCACTTTGCTGAACCTGGATTCTGTATCTGGTTGTTGATCACCTGCCATATTGCCTGCCAATCCCAGGAGTCACAAGCAGACTGTTGACCTTGAATTAGTTGAATTTTACATCCACCAGCTGTGGTCTTCCTGTTTTCTGGTTAGTCAGCCTGCACAGCCACCTCCCTCAGCAGCCTGCAGCTTAGCATCAGGCTTGAGGACGTAAACTGGAATGGACCTACCTGCTTCTATAACTGTGTGCATCATTTCTTGATGCAAATGTCTTTCTATAGACATACACACAAAAGCTACACTGGTTGTGCTTCTCTGGAGAACCCTGCCTAACACAGATGTATATATCTGTGAAAACTCTTTGAAGTGTACACATAGTTTATTATACAGGATTTAAATCACATTAAAAAAAAGCAAGAACATGCAGTTGACATGTAATAAACTTTCTAGTATATACTCGTGTTCTTTTCTACCCCAGGTTCCAGAAAGACAGTATGATCCAAGCTCGGGGTAGGATGGTTGGTGGTGGATTGCAAGCGTTTTTACTTCAAAAGTGATTTTTACAAAACACAAAAGCATGCGTCAGTCGTGTGCAAATGCCTAAGTATAAAATAATTTATATTTATGGTAAAAATTTGGCTGGGATTACTCAGTCAATGGTGATGCTAGAGGAGTTCAAACGGTTACATTCTTATCTTACAGCAGAGCAATAAAGCAGATCATTAAACAGGCAGTCAAGAAACCCAGCTTTTTAGTGCGGGCTCTCCCATATGACAAACCACTTGCTGGTCTGGGTGCATTAACACATCTCCATGAGCGTCAAGTTTCTTTCCTTGTAAATGGGAGATAATGATCCCTTCTTTACAGATTACTGTATCAAATGGAGAACACACACACACACACACACACACACACCATGCAAACTATCATGGGACCTATATGACATCACAAGAATGGAACTACACAGATAATTTGATACCTGATCAGGTAATCTTTTTATTGCCTGTTGACTATCTACATACATACCGTCCATTTTACCTCTGGGCGAGCAAGTGGAATAAATCTTCCATCAAACATGTGAGAAAATGGTCCATGGCCTAAAAAACAAGAGCAGCCTTGGTAAAAATGGGATTCATTTTTCTATCTCTTTAGCTCAACTTCAAGATCAACAAAAATTAATAACCTAGAAAGACACCACAAAAGAAGGAACAGTTTAACTCCTCCGTCTTAAAACAAGTACACAAGGAGCAGAACTCCCTGGAAAAGTAAGCTCCCCAGAGAGCAGCCCTGGAGTCACCAGAGCTGACCTAACTGAAGAAGAAACTAGAAGGATGCTAGAATGTTAATGGAAGGGTTAACTTTTGGAATCTTCAGATTACCACAGACGTTTTAAGGCAATCTACCACTGCCACTGGGGGGCATAAAGAAAATATTAGTTGGAACATCATTACTCTCCTCCCTTAAAAATACCTAAGTTTATGCACATGCATAGTACACATAATGTACTTTAAATATATATACACACATTGAGGTGGCGTCTCAATTTTTTTATTGACGATGTGGGAATTAAAAGGGTCTGCAGATCATTTTGCATATTTTATATTATTTCTTTATAGGTGATTTTAAAATGCCACATTCAATAATTAGAAACTTTGCTGGGCTACAACTTGGAATTATCAGAATTTCCAAATGATTCTCTCTCTTAAGATGCCAACAGTCTGTTACATGTCCTATCTAGAAGATGGTGCTAGTCCTACTTTGATCTCCTGGGGAATGAGTTGTCTTGAGTGATTTACAGGAAAAAGTACCATACCCTATTCCCCTGATCGAGTTAGTAAAACATTTCCTCTCCTCAGTGCCAACTCTCAGGATCTTCTAAGGGGCAGTAAGGAACTACAGAAATAGGGGACCAAATCCTGTGATAGGATCATACTAAAAATGGATTTGGTCTGACAAGGTCATTAAAGGAAAAATTGCAGTTTTATTCCACAAGAAGAATAAAAGTTCACATCAACCTAAAACTAATGATCAGGAAATGTCAGTATTCAGAAAACCACACTATTCAGGAAAATGCACTAATCAAGCAGAAAGCTCCTTCTTTTTTATCATTTTATTGGGGGCTCTTACATCTATTATAACATTCCATATATCAACTGTATCAAGCATATTTGTATATATGTTGCCATCAGTTTTCTAAGCATTTACCTTCTATTTGAGCCCTTGGTATCAGCTCCAACTCACACCACAACCCTTTTGACCAATTATAAATTATTAGTATTTTCATATCTTACACTGACTGCTGTCTCCCTTCACCCATTTTTCTGTTGTTCGTCTCCCCCACCCCCCAGGGTGTGTGTGCTGTACATCAATCATTGTAATTGGTTCCCCCACCTTCCTCCTATCCTCCTGGTATCACTACTCCCATTGCTGTTTCTGAAGTGTTTATCTAACCTGGAGTCAGTGTGTTGTGAGGTCTTATCTGTAAGCCCCTTCTTTTTTAAAAAAATCATTTTATTGGGGGCACGTACAACTCTTATCACAATCCATATATTCATCTATTGTGTCAAGCACATTTGTACATTTGTTGCCATCATCATTCTCAAAACATTTTCTTCCTACTTGAGCCCTTGGTATTAGCTCATTTTTTTCTCTCCCTCCCCACCCCTACTAAGCCCCTTCTTAAATAAAAAATATCAAAGATGTTTAACATTGAAAAGTCACTGAAATACTACAAGAAAATAAAATATAAACTCTCTGTGTTTCTATAACGCATGAGAAAGATATGGCATTCTGTTTCTATAAAGATTGATGGCCTTGGACATCTATGGGCAGTTTCAATTCTGTCCTGCTCGTTGTTAGGAGTCAAGACAGACTGGAGCATTAGATTAGGTTTTGGAGTTTCTAAGTCACCCTTGGAGGAAGCCCTGGCACATTTATATCGATGATACAAGGTTAAAACAGAATGACCATGTTTCCCTTGGTTAGCATGACTTTGCTATTTCAAAGAGAGGTACTAACGTTACAGTTTTAGATAGCCCATTGGCTCTTAGCACAGCTTACCGAGATCATGACAAAGCCCCGCAATCTGAACACAGAGCATGTCTCGCTCGCTTATCTGCAGCTCCGGTTGTTTCTCATGCAGCGCACGAACCAAACATCCTGCTAAGTACCCCACCCTGCACGGCAGAAACAGAGAGAAAGTCACTCTTGTGTTTGAAAAGTGGGTGATACCAGGGGTCTTCAAGTCCTTTCGTCTGCTTTCTCAAACATTCTAACGTATCTGTAGGTCAGCTTCACAGAGGAGTCTAGTGCAAAACTGGGCAGGAGCACAGACAAAATCCCATTATTACTCTCGAGCTCCATGAAAATACAGACAATTTCAATCTGATTGTGTTTATTAGACCAGGCTAATGTTCAACACACCTTTCCGGATGAGTAGGTGAACATGTGACTATAGACACGTATGGTCTGGTTAATTAAAAAAACAACAACAAAAACAAACAGGAAAGAACAAAACAGTACCCTGTAATTATTTTATGACATCAGAAAAACTGTCCAGTTCCCCCTCAACGTAGCTGATTAGACAAAAGGGACCTGCTCTAACCCTGTCAATGCTTTTCTGACCTAGGTCAAGAAATGACTTCATTTCAAAGGTCAATTCCCTATGTGACAAAACATGGGCTACTGGAAAATCACACAAATCAAACATACGGGATTGGTTTTACTAGCAACCAACATAATCAGCTTTTAATTTCTAACTCACACACAAATATTTCATACAACTCATCTGTCTCTAAACATGTTCACTATCTTTGCAGGAAGTACAGTGACTTATAAGAAAACATACATCATATGAAATATAGCAAAGTAGATAAAAAGCGTAATTTTGTCATCAATAAAATAAGGGTACTACTATGGTTTGATAGTTACTTTTTGTGTAAAAGCTGAAATGAGAGGATGGTTTCATGAGGCAGAGGAGGTACTGCTAGGATTTCCCCTCCACCAGGTTCTCCTTACCCCAGACTATGCTCAAAGCGGTTGTGTGACGCTCCTGGAAAAACGTAGTAACCGCCTCCCAGCTGTTTAATGTACCGAAGTCGCTGAAACTGGGGTGTGTCGATGATTCGGATGAGCAGAGGGTGGAGCTCAATGTGGCCATGGATGGGATCATTAATAACCTAGAGAATTAGACGCAGATTAATGCACGTGACCACACGCAACTCCATCTTACATGCTTGTGCAGCCATTCCTACCTATGCTCAGATGTCAAACTTGTTTAGTTGTTCAAGTAAGAAGAATACTTAGGGAAATGATTAAGACATTCATATCGTTATCTTGTTTACTATCACTCCCAGACAGATAAAAGTATATTGCACCTTCTCTTCCTTTGTTCTTAAGAAATGTTTTTCTGTATATAAAATCCAAAATAGGTAAATCTATAGAGACAGTAATGATTGGATGATGCTTGGATAATGATTCTTTGGGGATATGTAGGGGAGGTTGGGGGGAGGTGGGAAGCTAATAACATAAGTACAAGAATGAAGAAAATGTTCTAAAATGGACTGTGGTGATGATTGTACAACTCTTTTTGATACGACTGAACTATTGAATTGTATGATAGGTGAATTATATGTCATTGAAATGGCTAGAATAAAAGTACATTACATCAAGGTATATCTTATTTCTTCTTTTTTTTTTAAATCAATTTATTGGGGCTCATACAATTCATCACAATACATAGATCAATTGTGTAAAGCACATCTATACATTTGTTGCCCTCATTATTCCCAAAATTCGCTTGCCTCTTGGGTTCCCGGAATCCGCTCATTTTCCTTCCCCCCCCCCTTCCCTTCCCTTCCTCCTCCCCTTTCCCCCATGTACCCTTAATAATTTATAAATTATTATTGTATCTTATATTACACTGTCCGGCGTCTCCCTTCACCCACCCCGCTGCTGCCCGTCCCCCAGAGAGGAGGTTATATGTGGCTCCCTGTGATCCATTCCCCCTTTCTACCTCCCCTTTCCCTCCTGGTATCGCCACTGTCACCCCTGATCCTGAGAGGTTCTTCTGTCCTAGATTCCCTGCGTTTCCAATTCCCATCTGTACCGCTGTGCATCATCTGGTCTAACCAGGTCTGCAAGGCAGAATTGGGGTCCTGGTAGTTGGGGGGAGGTATATCTTATTTCTTCTTAACAGTTTCCGATAACTAAAAGAAAAACTTTTCAGGGGGAACTGATCACAATGTTTGACGTACAAACCACCCCCCAGGGGGACTAACAATAGAAATGTGGGTGAAGGAAGACAGTGGATGTGTAAAATATGAAAATAAAAATAATATATAAATTATCAAGGGGCTACTAGAGTGGGCGGGGGGGAAGAGTAGGTGATACCAAGGGATCAAGTAGAAAGAAAATATTTTGGAAATGATGGCAACATAGGTACAAATATGCTCGATACAATTAATGTATGGATTGTTACCATCCCAATAAAATGATTAAAATTAAAAAAAGAGGAGCTGATATCAAGGAGTTCAAGAAGAAAGAAAAAGCTTCGAAACTGATTGTGGTGGCAATTGCACCATACTGCTTGATGTGATTGAACTATGGATTGTTATGATAGCTGTAAGGGCTCCCAATAAAATGATTAAAAATAAATGAATAAATAAAATAAAACAAAAAGGAGGTGACATGAGCAGTGTTGGGTTGTCAGGTGCTGTGGAGTCAGTTCCCGGTCACAGCAAACCCATGTACAATACAGCCAAACAGTGCCCAGTCCGGAGCCTTCCTCACACCTGTTCTTATTGAGCCGTCTGAAGGCGGGGTGGTGGTGGGGGGTGGGAAGAGGTAAACAACTCTGGACAGATTCAAGTTTAGAACTGTATCCACCAACTAGGCTCGCACTTGACAAAAAATATTTACCAAAAGTGACAAGGCTATGTAGTACAACTTTAATAGTTCTTCCATAACTGAGGGATAACTAGGGCTAGTGTGTCAATGTGGATGATTCTCAAACATATTATGCTAAATTGAAAGAAAAAGAAGAAGCAAGTTTTAGAAGTATTGGTATTGAAGCAAGTTTTAGATGTATTGATATTGTACTTACAGTACAATAACATTTATATAGTATTTTTTTTAAAGTAAAACAGTACTAATGTTTTTGAAAAAAAAATAGTTCATACACTGTTTATGGAGATACAAATAATGATGTATGTAGTGAAAGTATAAAAATATTCATTGAAATGATAAAACACCAAATCCAGATGATTCTTGTTTCTGGTGGGGGGTGTTGAGAATCACGTAGAACGGGGAACAAAGGAGGTCTTCAATGGATTTTTAATATTTTGCTCTCAAGACAGTCTGAAGCCGATGATGCAAAATGTGGAGATTTGCAACCTCGGTGGTAAAATATTTTCTATGTGCATAAACTATTTTAGAAAGCGCCGTTTAGAAAGTGTAAGGATGCCCACAGTTCTGGTCCCCAGAAGCAGATGTCTTTGTATTCTTTTAAAAAGGAAATTTACATGATTTGGGTTGTACCATTTCACATTCAAAAGAAAAAGAAATACAGTCCGACTCCTCTTACCTTCATCGTAACAACTGGAGTTTCACTCAGTCTTTGGATATAATGAAGCAGCTTCTTTCTCTCCTCCAGGGAACTAAAATGACAAGCACATATGCAAATCCGTCACCCTGCATTTGAAAGCCCTTGGGGAAGACCACAGAATGCTGTCTACTGTAGCTTCTCCGCACCAACAGAAGGGGAAGGAACAGTTCATTTGAACATGCGCATTCTGAACGCTCTCCCAAATCTGGGCAGGTCGTCTGGTGCGGGGGTGGAGGGGGTGGGGGGTTTGATCCTGCTCTCCGTGGCAGACTCAGGACGTCAACGTCTCCTGCCTGTAGTGGAAGGCCGGGTCCACCTGCTCTAACCCACACCCTCTTTCCCCGTTCCAGTTTCCACGACATCCCTTCTGAATGTTCAATGTATACGTCCAATTTATTTTGACCCAAGTGAAGTCACACCTCTTTCCTGCCCTGAATGTGCACGGGTCATGAAGGAAAACACAGCACCCTCAATGGTGGTTGCAGTTGGTGGGTGCCATCAAGTTGGTTGCGACTCACAGCAACCCTGTGGATAGTGGAACGAATCACTGCTTGGTCCTGGGCCATGCTCACAATTGTTCATATGTTTGAGTTCATTCTTGCAGCCACTGTGTCAATCTATCTTGTCAAGGGTCTTCCTCTTTTTTTTTGGCTGCCCCTCTATTATGTCCTTCTTCTCCAGGACTGATCTCTCCTGATAACATGTCCAAAGTGTGTGAGATGAAATCTAGCCAACTTCATTTCTGCTGTTTTGGAAAACAGTCCAGCAAAGAGAGTATGAATATAGCAAACATATGGAAGTCTTGAGTTGGCATTTATTGTGTGTCCTCAAAGCAAGAGATTTGAACCAAAGTCCAATGGCTTCCAAATCCATAACCTTGGGATAATCATCTGCTTTCACAGGGCATTTCAGCCCGAAGACAAGGGAGTATTTCCATGCCTTTTATCTGCTATAGGTGTGTTTAAGATAAAGTCCAGTTTGCTTAGTGGGGCTTCCAAATTGGATCCTTTTCATGTGGCCCATGAAGGTGCCTACTGTGCACCTCTAGAGGGCAGAGTCTCAAGTCCCAATTGTCTATAGATTCTGCCTGGTCACCAAGGGCCAGATAGGCACTAGGTCAAAAGGACCCAATTAGGCACATAGTACCAGGCAACTCACAAGCTCTTTCAGATGCTTAAGCATCTGTACAACCAAAAGCAAGTTTTGGTATTTCTTTCTTTTTTTTTTTTAAACAAGCTCTGGCCAGTTTTATTAAAGAAAAATATTGCAGGATTGATTTTTCACCAGTCTGTTCTGGCCTGCTTCTAATGATATCAGAATCCCCGGGGTCGGTGAAGACCAGCGTGCACACCCTGTAGGACTTGCTGCACGCCGTGCCCAACTCGATGTTGTGGCCGCTGTAGTGATGGACACCGGTTTTGGCCAACATGGTGTAGTCCCCGATTTCCGGTTTCCTCCAGGCCGGGCAATGGTTGGCCAGGATGACCAGTTTTGCTTTCACTTGCCCGATCATCTTAAGCGTCTGCTTGTCGCCCAGCACGTATTTTCCACTTTTCATAACGAGTTGGAGGCTAGAGCTGATGGACTCCAGCCTCATGTTTGTCTTCTTTGCGGCCACCATCTTCCTGCTTCAGGTGCAGGACAGCCCCCAACCAAGAGCAGCCACCAAGATGGTTGGAAGGGAGAAAAGCTGCTTTCTTTGTCTCCTTAATGACCTGCTTTCACCCACAACTCATCTTCAGTCTTGGGTCATTAGTTTTCAATGTGTCAAATCTATCTCTGAGATGGTCTCAAAATTCAGGTGGGATATATTATCAGTTGTATCTTGGCTCTTGGGGACTTAAAAAAAATTTTTTTTCAGCTTCAACCTGAACTTACATATGCATAATTTATGGTCTGTTCCACACTTAGGTCCTGAGCTTTATTTTGGCTGATGATATGGAGCTTCTTTGTCATTTCCTCCCAGGCATGAGGCTTTGACTTGTGCTATTTCATTGTGTGAGGACCATGTGTACAGCCGCTGTTTTATGTTGGAAGAAAAGGTATTTGCAGCGAAGAAGTTGTTGGTCTTGCAAAATTCTGTCATATGATCTGTATCCTATTTTCTATCACCAAGGCCATATTTTCCATCTACTGATCCTTCCTTTGTTTCCAACTTTCTTATATCAATCACCGGTAATTATCAATGCATAGGTTGCATATTTGATCAATTTAAGACTGAAGACATTGGCAAAATTCCTCAATTACTTCATCTTTAGCTTTAGTGGTTGGTATGTAACAGACTTGAACTTAGGTCTGTTTATGACTTTCAAGTTTGTTCTACATTGTTCTTCCATTCTTTCCAGGACATTCTGAGATCCTGATCAGGGTGGTCAGTAGCAGCAGCCATGCACTACCTAGTTGTGTTGGTCCGGGTAGACTAGAGAAACAAACCCAGAGACATTCATAGATGAGTAAGAGAATTTTATATCAAAGAGCAATTGAACATTAAGAAAACATCCCAGCCCAGTCCAGGTTTAGTCCATAAATCCTATATTAGCCCATATGTCCATTACCAGTTTATAAAGTCTTCAGACTCACAGAGCACATGCAGTGACACCAAATGCAGGAAGAAAGATCAAGTCTTGTGGATCCAGTGGTAGTGGAAGCATCTCAGCCCTGGCACGGGGCTCCACATGGCCCCTCCAGCCCCAGGGCTCTGGTTCCATCAGTACAGCACATCTGGCTTGTCAGCAGGAAGATGAAGCAGAGTGTGTGTCTGCCCTCCAATGAGCTATTTATCTCCGTGGCACTTCCAAATGAGGTCATCAAGCTTCAGCTTGATTGATAGGCTAGACTCCACCCCTTCACAAGTTGACAGGAGATTATGTAACTAGCTCACTAGCTCTTCTGGTCCCAGGGTATAGAGGCTGTGGTTCATGTGGCCTATTAGTCCTTCGGACTAATTGTTTCCCAATGTGATCTTTTTTAACAATCTACCTCCATTATCAGTTTCTAAGCAACAGTGCATGAAATAACTTAGTATAATTCTTTGTTTGGATCCCTTGTTTAGGTGAACATAAACAATATTTAGCCAAGTGAAATTCCAGAAGGAAAAGCTCCAAGTTTCATCACTGTTGACAATTCTCTAATGAAACAAAGTCTTCATTTTGTTTTAATTTAACCTATGAATCCTCAGCCTAGATCTTTAACGTGTTCCCACTCTAATCTAGACTTAGAATTTCCAGCCTTCCATAGGAGAAATTTAACTCTCTCCCTCTCTAAATTTATTAAGGGCTTAGAACGCACTGAGCACTTTACATATTAGGGGGCTTCAAGAAACTTAAGAAACTTGTCGAATAATTGAATTAAAAGGTCATGGACATTTTATAGAAAATTTTTGAAGCCTCCTCATACACTGCCTCATTATTAGTCTTTATTTCACAGGTATACAAATAGGAAGGTTAAATAATGTGTTCGAAATGATCAATAACAATGTGACATAATCTTTAGGTCTAATGCTAGGGGTACTTTCAGTCTTAATGCAGAGTTAAGAAATATGTTCAAAATAAGGCTGTGACTTTGACCTTTCTTTCCTACATTAACTTTCATTAGTTCTTACATATTTTATGGTGTGCATGGTTTTGATAAGAGTATTCCAAAACTGAGAGTAAAAAGCTGGCTACTACTCATTTCATGAAGGGTTATCAGCAAAATTCTTGAAAGTAGGAATCAACAGTGATATTAAACACAGGGTTTTCACAGCAGCATCTACAACAAAATACTATGCTACCCAAGAGGTGGCACACTCTATTTTAATTTATTTGTTTTTAGGTTAACACATCTTTATTTCAGCAAGTATAAAACCTTGAAGCAGAAAAAGCCTCGCTTGAAGTCTATGTGCTGACTCCAATCCAAAGTACTTACTACCTACTCTATTGTGGAAACCTGTGATACTTTTTATCTCAAGGAACACTGAAAAACATATGAAGCAACAAAGCCCACATGGAAGAAGCACACCAGCCTATGCAACCACGAGGTGTCGAAGGGATCAGGTATAAGGCATCAACAGAACAGAAAATCTTACCATAGTGAATGATGGGGGGAGTGCGGAGTGGAGACCCAAAGCCCATTAGTAGGCCACTGGAGATCCCCTTGCAGAGGGGTCTCGGGGAGGAGATGAGCCAGTCAGGGTGCGATGTAACAACGATGAAAAATACAACTTTCCTCTAGTTCCTAAATGTTTCCTCCCCGCTCCCACTACCATGACTCAAATTCGACCTTGCAAGTCTGGCTAGACCAGAGGATGTACACTGGTACAGATAGGAACTGAAAATACAGGGAATCCAGGGCGGATGAGCCCTAAGGACCAGTGGTGTGAGTGGCGAAACAGGGAGGATAGAGGGAGAGTGGGTTGGAAAGAGGAAACCGATTACAAGGAACTATATGTGACCTCCTCCCTGGGGACGGACAACAGAAAAGTGGGTGAAGGGAGACGTCGGACAGGGCAAGATATGACAAAATACCAATTTATAAACTATCAAGGGCTCATGAGGGAGGGGGGAGCGGGGAGGGAGGGGAAAAATGAGGACCTAATGTTGGGGGTTTGGGTGGAGAGAAAATGTTTTGAGAATGATGAGGGCAATGAATGTACAAATGCGCTTTACACAATTGATGTGTGTATGGATTGTGATAAGAGTTGTATGAGCCCCTAATAAATGATAAAAAAAAAAAAAAGAAAACATATGAATTTTAAATCTTGGTGGGTGATCACTACCAGAATGTGCTGGAGAATAACCAAAATAATGGGATTGAGGGTTTTTCTAACTTTATGTGTGTTTTTTCAATTTTTTAAATTAAAAGATCATTTTATTGGGGGCTCTTACAACTCTTATTGCAATCCATACATCAATTGTATCAGGCATATTTGCACATATGTCGCCATCATTCTTTTCTAAACATTTACTTTCTATTGAGCCCTTGGTACCAGCTCCTTTTATCCCTCCCCGCCTCATCCTCGTGATCCCTTGATGGATTATAAATTATTATTTTCATGTCTCACACCGACTGCTATCTCCCTTCCCCCGTGGTTTCTGTTGTTCTTCCCCCTGGAGGGGTGTGTGTGATTATGTGTCAATCATTGTGATCGGTTCCCCCTTCCTCCCCTCTTCTCCCCCCTTCCTCCTACTCTTTAATTCCACTTAAAAAAAACAAAACAAGTTTATTAGCACCTTATCCACATGTCATACAATTCAATAATCCAATCACGTCAAGAAGAGTTATAAAATTGCCATCATATTCAATTTTAGAAGATTTTCTTCTTCCTTGTAGTCATTATTATTCATGTAATTATTGTGGTTTTTTTTCTAATTGTGGCACAAATATCTCAACAGAACATTCTCCAATTCCCCAACTTCTACCTTTATAATTCACTAGTTTCCCTAAAACAACCCTCACGGATTTAAGAAGTGGATGGCTTTTATGAGGGAGGCTGAGCTTTACCTCACAGAGGTGACTACTGTGATCCCAAGTGTACTTGGCTACAATGTGGATTTTATCACTCTTACCTTACGCCAAGCTTTTCAAGAAGAGATTCATCAAGGAAGTGTAGTAGTGAACCTGTGATTTTATTTTCTGTGAAAGAAAGGGGAGAGAGAGAGAAAAAAAAGAGCAAATTCAATATTTACTACAGATGTGTTTCGGTTTGATTTCCCAGAATTTACCTGATCAGATCATTAATTGAACACCCACCATAGGCAAAGGACTGTGCTGAGTTAGTTAATTGTGCCAGCCTGGCCGATAGTCACATGTG